AAAAGACTAGGGGAGGCTCACAACTCAGACGTGTCTGTTACAACAGTAATGCAGGAGTGATCACCGGAAGTTAATCTTGGGAAGATATTGGGATATGGACAAAATCAAATTTTGATGAGAAGAGGTATGCATTGAGTAATGGAAATAGCATCATGACTTTAAATCCCTATAACCAATGTTTTAAAGCAAAGTTGGAAGTATTCACGGTGGCAATGCCATGGTGACAATAAGAATCTTTAAATTCACTTTGCAGTAGTCCAGTGAATAGTCTATAGTCCAACATAAAACCACAAACTTAATAAACACATTTTTTGAGCTGGTAAGTGGATTCGGTGATGCTACAGAATTGATTATTCCATCTTTGCAAATCTCAGGCATTAGAGGGCCATTGATCTTGTATTCCAACTCTTTCAAAGAAGGCAAATCATCTAGGTTTTAAATATTTATTTAAAGAATATATAAGGGATCCATAACAAAATAAATGTATTTGTGTGGCATTACCTCATACGCGAGGGCAAAGGTGCCCCAGTGAATGGCCACCGACTGTCTGGCCTGAAGGTCCTCGTGAATCTGAACGGCCTCCTCTGGATCTACATGCTGTCCTTTCATCACATCTCTGAAAAACCAAGAAATATTCAAGTAGTCTTTGATATCGGTTTTTGTTACAATAGGCACAGAAAAATGAATAGCTTAGAGGTAGAGTTAACTGCAATTAACTCTACCTACCGACTTTATTGTTGAAACATGAATCTACAGTGCCATCATTTTCCCACATATGTTTACTTATTTAGAAAACTATTTATTTTTTTGTAATTGTGACAAAGTACTGTCTGTAGAAATGTTAAAATAATCATTAGACGTGTTCTGAATGTACATTACAAAAGCAAATTCAGTGGCCAAACATTAGATTGTAAGGATGTTCTTAATAAAGTGCACATGTGTATTACCTGGGCAGGTATGCTCCGATAGGGATTGCTGCAAGGTCAAATGGTCCAAAGCGGCGTCCTATTTCCGCAAAGGAAGAACAGTAGCCAGTGTCGCCAGCAAAGAAGAAACGATGGTCTGGACCCAAAACAGTCCAGCTGCTCCATAAAGACTGGAAAAAATTTTTTTTTAAAAAAAGACCTGAATTTTATCAACTTTATCTGTTTTGAATTCAAGATAAAGGTTTAAACAGAATTAGTTGTCCTATAAAAATGACAAAGTTCTGCTGTTGGCTTGTTTAGGGTCATGTCACTTCACTAAATCTTATTAAACAATTAAGCAATAATGTGCATATTGTTGTTGTTGTTGTTGTTATTATCTTACTTTGTTATCATCCCATGCTGTGCGTTTGCTCCAGTGCTGCGAGGGTGTGCAAACAAACGTGACATCATCATGACCTGGGACACAGTTCTCCTCCCACCAGTCCAGCTCCATCACATTCTCACAGCCCATCTTCACCAGCCAGTCCATCAAACCCATTGGCACGAACCTGACACACACACACAATGCAAAAAGGTACATGTAATTCCTAATGAAGGGCACACTGTTTGACAGTGGGAAGTGAACATATGACATGAATGGAAATAATATTGTGGACCACTGATCCACCTCACGTACCAGCGTAGCTCTCCTCCGAAGCGAGCATTAAGACTGGCCACAGATCCAGCATCCAGATGATCGTAATGAGAGTGACTGATGACCACAGCATCAATCCTAGGAAGCTGTTGGCAGGAAAGTAAAAGAAGAAACTTAAAGGTGGAGGAATAAATAAAAAAATTTAACAAACAAAAATACATGTGTATATATATATAGGAACCTGCTCCACAGTGCAAGGAGGACCTCTGAATCTTTTGGGTCCCATATATTGGATCGGCGATGCCCTCTGACTGAAGATTGGATCCGTCAGAACATTCACCCCATCGATTTCAACCAGAACTGTGGCATGGCCCAGCCATGTGACTCTCAGTCCTGGACCAGAGCCAGAGAGGTTTGGGTTCTGCACAAAGTATGGCTCCATCACGGGGAGCTCACGATCCAGGGCCTTTAGGGACAGAGAGACGAGGGAGAGGAACAGGCCATCCATAGTTTAAAATAAATAAATAAGTAACAGACAAAGTTAGATGTAAGAAGGACTGAAACAGATGGGTGCAGGAGGGGCAAATTACTTAATGCTGAAGGCCACCTTTGCTATAACTGTACTTTACACCTATGAATTTGCTAGTAGTTGGTAAGCACACCTATTTTTAAAAGTTTGAATATAGCAACAAACAGTAGAGTCTGTGCTAATAAAGGGTTAACCTTTTTTCTGTTGCAGTGTGAAAGCAGCTTGTTAAGCCCTCACTGAGCTCAGCAGGTTTTCCAATAAGACCTATAAATAGTGTGTGTGAGAGATGAAATCGGCCAGTGATTCTTAGTAAAGATGTATTTGTCCTGAACTCATTTCCAAGGAGGTTAAATTTTGCCAACAGCTGTTTTCTATATAAACTTGAGGCCTGTACATTTAAAACATTGATTAGTGACGCGTCACTGCAACTTGGATTAAAACCAACAGCTAATAGTAAACTGGTGATTATAAGTAAGTGATTACCTACCTCTTTACTAGCAGGTACATTGCTGTTATCTTTTTCTAAGAACAGGAACCTGAACAGCATCGAGTAGGAAGGAAAGCGCCACGTTGGCCAGGGGTTAGCCCAGCGGCCATGTTTGTCCCGACACGACTTTGTCACTTCTTCCTGCAAAAAAAGTAAATAATAGCATATTTGCTATGTTAGCAAGTCATTTTGGAATCTACAGTTGTATAATATATACCAGTTTATTTTTCACAGGAAAGTCAAAAAGCCCCAGACCCAAAAAAAAAAAACAAAAACAAAAAGAGTTGCAGCAAAAAGATGCCCCTTAGATAAAATAAACAAGTTCCACTCCTGACATAACAGCCTAAAGAAAGGGAACTATTCAACATTACCCCAAGGTTACATAAGCTGGATTTAACAGAAGAACTCACAAACCTACTGCCTTCTTTGAACCTTGGGATTGCGCTATCTGGGACAATGGTAAGAGTCTCTTTCATCAGAAATGAAATGTAGAAATTGTTATTTAACTAAAACTTGGAAATCAAACAGTTTGTAGAAATGTTTTTATAAAATAGATATTATCTGTTCAAGAGTTAATATCTACAAGCTAAACAGGATAGTTCCAAAAATGATCCCTGTGGAACACCACAGAACAAGGGAGGTTTTTCTGAAATGATTAATAACAACAGAAAAACATCTCTTTCTGTGAGATGAGATTTAAAGCATGCTAATGCAGATACAGACACAGCAACCACCTGATATAACCAATATATCACCAATAAGAACACTGTGTGATCCATGACATGATAAGCTGAACTCGGATGTAGCAAAACACAACATGCAGAACTAGAGAGGAGGACTTCACAGAACGGAGAAGCTCTGAGGTGAAACTGAAGCCTCAGGATTTGGGTTTTATTAGATAGCAAGGTGACAGTAATAGAGGGTCTTACCTCCAGTCGGTAGTCCAGGCGGAAGCTTTTGCGGGAGGAGCTGCTCTTCCTTGGAGTCCGAGCATCCACCTCTCCACCCTCAGCACCTCTAGGCTCGCCACCATCCTGAACAATGAGTACACATAGAAACTATAGTAAACTTGAATTCTAAACATTTTTAAGAATTGAAAATAAGCACTTAACATACAAGAACGTAGTGAGAAAACATGAAAAAAATAATAAATCAGTGCTTTTATTAAATTCTGCAAATTTTTCTGGCGTAAAAGACTGACACATACATCAGGATTACACAACAGTTTTAAAAACACTAAGAAGTCCCTTTAACGGTTACACGAGTTAATGACCTGAGCAGTAATTTCAAAGCCTTTTCAAAGCACCTATTTTAACATGTAATTACATTTGACAGGTCAAAGGAAAAAGCACAGGTGTGTTTCGGAATGGGAATTAAAAACCGGTTTTCAAAGTTTACCAGGGCTGGCCTTTTTTTTCCCCCCCCCTCAACAGTTGGACACTGAAAAACAAATGGATCGAACTCATGGCAGTGTTGCTTCTGCACTCAGTCTCTTTTTTCCCTTGCTCTGCTTCAACACTGTGTTCACAATCAGATAATAATACAGCTACACTGAAGATCTATGTAGGATTTCATTTGGTTCCCCACACAGATAATTACTAAAGACTGAAATCAGAAAGTAACAGTTTCCTCCCCAGGGTGACTGGGCCTTCGAGATAGGGTGAGGGCCTCAGACATGTGGAGCGATCTCAGAGTAGAGATGCTGCTCCTGCATGTCAAAAGGACCCAGCTGAGGTGGTTCTGGCACCTCCTGGGCAAGCCCAACTGGGTGGAGACCCCAAAGTAGACCCTGAACCCTCTGCAGAGATCATATATCTCATCTGGCCTGGGAGAGCGCCTTGGGATACCCCAGGAGGAAGTGGAAAGTCTGGTTAAGGAGAAGGACATCTAGAATACACTGCTCAAGCTAACACCTGCTGCCACCGCAACCCAACTTTGGACAAGCGGAGGATGGATGGATGGATGTGAGAATACCAACGCTTTCAACAAAATATTCAATATTCACCTCCAGCTAAAAAACTAAAGCAAATATGCAACCAAATTTGCAATGCTACCAAACAGAACTTTGTAAACATGTGCCACCTTTTCCCACTATATTCAACAGAAGGGAGATCTCTTTTGTTGTGATGGTGCTGTATTAAGAGGATTGCAGGCAAGAGGAAAAACATTTATATTTCATTTTGCGGTGAACTTTCCATTTAAACCACGGTGCCATCTAATTGCAGCTGATAATGTGCATTACCTCCACCAGGCCTTTTCTCTCCTCGAGCTCAGCTCTGTCTGAAGATGACGGCTTCTCCATGGCTTCAGCGCCCCAACCACACCTAGCACTGACACACAAACACAGTATTAACTTCACAACAGTGCTGCAAAGTCCTGTCTCACTGCAGCGAGCAGAACCACAATTATACCAGAAGACAATGAGAACAAAGAGATAACATAAACACAACTGCAACCAAGTTATAGCCTGGTCCCGTTCACTGATAGTACTGTACTGATAACAGAACACACAAACAGCAGACAGTTAAACTGCAACACTTTGCATAAGACAAAAAGATGATAATCAGGCACAGTGAGATCAGCTTTACTGTATTCAAATAAAACTATTATCTGACATGACATTTAAATGCTTCCACTGTGCATTAAATTCAGTTGCTCAAACCTTGCCACTGCTTTTATAATTAGCGACTTGCTGGCAGGAAGAAGTGTGTTGACAGCTTTTTTTCTCTTGAGTAATAGCGATTGAGAAGTAACTGATGTTCTGACACACACAAATATAAAGACATTTGCACTGTAATTCCACTGTTTACCACATTAAAGCTTAACAGCGTGCAAGAACTCACGGGTACCTTAAACTGCTATTTTTTTGGGTGAATGTCTCCTTCAAACACGGTGGTGCAGAATTAAACTTTAAATGGAGTTTGCCTTGCCGTAAAGCATTCAAACAGGACTGAGAGTGTGACCGGAGTGAATAATGATTTCATCGGATAAAGAAGCATATATTTATGAAGGCACTTAGACGCGAGAAAGCCAAGAAGTCTAATCACAGCCCTTCCTTATCCTGCTATTATCCACAACTATCAGAGTTTGGAATACACCCTCACTATCATGCACTCAGCAATGCTTCCTTCATGGATCCTCTTATGCAAAAAGAAATAATCAGAATCAGAGAAACGTTATTAATCCCAGAGGGAAGTTGAGTAAATAAACCACTACATCTAATGCAGTTATGCAACAAAAAAAACAACAAAGTGCACTTGCTCTCTGTGGGGAAATCCACACATTAAACCATGCCATGCTGATGATGCACTTGGCCTCATGAATGGAACTTACACACACACACCAGGTTAACAATGGGGCTCTGTGGATGACAATCAAAACAGGTCTTTGCATCTAGCCAGCATGCCTGCCATGGTTGTATAAACAACAAACACCACCTCGAGTCAGGTTTTTCCTGAATTCAAGAGAAATATCACTTTACTATTGAATAAACGCACATGTGAGCTTTAAAGACTGGACACCACGTGCTAGAAATAACCTTGACACAAGTTAGAAATAGACTTAATCATATATACTGCTGTGAAATTAATTAAGAATTCATGAAAGGAAATAATTATGAACATGACAACAGCTGCCAACTGATCGAGTTTAACCAGCACATTATGACATTTATCCGTTTCCTGTTGCAAAGGTGTCAAACACGCGATAAGGATGGCAAACTACAAACCACTACTGACAAACTAAACCATTATATCCTCACCAAGCGTAAGAAGGAAATACTGCACACTGTATTTTACCGAGAACTCGCCTAGCAAGTGTGTTCAAAGGGAAAACAATGACTCTAGGAACAGGCCACCATAGCATTATCGTATACCACAAGCGTCGTCTAACGTCAGGTTCTAGCACCTACCTTCCCGAAACCTTGAACTCAGAATACCACCAGTGCTTTCCTTAGCGAGGAGACATGTTCTCTGCACAAACGTTAGCTTCGGACTGCTTTAATGAGCAGCATTTATGAGGAGCTGCACGCATTTTGCAGCACAGTTTACATCACTGCAGCATTACCCCGGAGGGACTATCGACAGGAAACGTTAAGCCGGCTGTTAGCAGGACGTCGTTCAAAGAAAAAATGTGAAGTTCTTGGTAATGCAGCAGGACGGTTACGGACCATATCTCGGTACCAGCTCGGCTTCTCTGACGTCGGTGCGAAAAATCCTTTGATCACGTGACGCGACCAACTCTAGTCGCGGTTGTGGGATATTTTATGAAGGAGAAAACCGCTGTAACGAACTATATTGTTAAAAAAGAAAAATATTTTTAAATCAGTATTTTAAACATTGATTCCACCGGCAATGTTACTAGTAATTATTATTATATTAATTATTATACCTCAGCCAAGACAAAAGTAATAAAATCATTCAATTTCAATACAATTTTATTTATTCAGCGCTAAATCAGAACAACAGTCGCCTCAAGGTGCTTTATATTGTAAGGTATACCCCACAATAATACATACAGAGAAAACCCCAACAATCATATGACCCCCTATTAGCGAGTGCTTTGGCGACAGTGGGGAGGAAAAACTCCCTTTTAACAGGAAGAAACCTTCCGCAGGACCAGGCAATTATATTATAAGTTGAATAAACAGAGTAGATACAGATTTGCCTGTCTCTCGTGTGTGTGTGAGTGTGAGAGAGAGAGAGAGAGAGAGAGAGACAGAGACAGAGAGACAGAGAGCTATTTAGTTGTGTGACAGATATATAGCTGCACAATAAAGGGAATATTCTCTACATTAAATTTTGATGCCGTCTTTAATTAAAGACACTACTTTTCATTTGGGATTTTCCACAGTTGTAGCAGCAGTGCAGGAGCCCCATCTGTCTCTGTGTCACTGGTTCTAGTTCATGTAAGATAACCGAGAATTTGAATATTTTTAAAGATAGTATAACGAAGAAAGCGGTTTGAAATGACGACTGAGACCCGGACACAGCAGCGGACTATGTGACTGTAGGGTTCCCAGGAGGACTGTTTAAAAGAGTCTTTGTGTAGTTTATATACGACTTAACTTACCTCGAGTTCCTCCACCTGATGGACACCTGAAGGGAATGTAACCCAAGGAAACCCACTAAATTCAGTCGCGTCTTAACCTTATTAAACTTATAACTACATACCAAACACAACAGTCCAGACTTGGACAACACTGTTTCCATTGCCATTGGCCTTTGTATCTGACCATAATTACTTGGCAGTTTTCGGAGAAAACAGCCAGAGGACACAAAATTACGCACAGCCGGGGTTTAGTGTCCGGACTTCGAAGGCTGTGAGAACTTCCTGTTAGTTGCTTTCACTGACTTTCGGAAATCAGAATCTCGCTGATTTTAAACAAACTCGAGACCTTTAAGATTATTTCACACAATTTAATTTCAAATTGGTTTTGAAATTAAACTTTGGGTCTGCTCATCTGAAAATGCATTAACTAAAAACCCAATTGTGGCTGAATGAATTAAAAATGTATTCAGTGTTGTTCTTGTTTTGTTCTTGGTTTTTTTTTTTTTTTTTTGCCATAATCTAAAAATTAGTTGGTGCAGAAACTATAAATAATAGTTACACTTCATTTACTGCATTACTTGACAATCCTAAAAGCTGAATCCCTGAATATGGATTGTACAACATAGCACTGGTCACCAAATAAATTGTAATCTTAGATAGAGAAAAACTGCAGTTTTTAAATGATGAATTAATTTATTAAAGGAAAAGCTATCCAGACGTACAGGATATGTCAAAAAGTAACTGTCCTACTTGTTAAATCATGAATAAAATGTAATTAACCACAATGTTTAAAAACTGGTTGCAGTTGCCTGATTATTGCCAGACCAGGTGAATTACTAAACACTCAAAACTGTCTGACGAAGCAAAGATTCTCAAAAAGAAACACATCATGCTGATCTAAAGAAACTCAAGAATAGATGAGAAAAAGTCATTGACATCCATCATTCTGGAAAGGGTTACAAAGCCATTTCTAAGGCTTTGGCACTCTAGTGAACCACAGTGAGAGCCATAATCCACAAACAGAGAAAACTTGGAACAGTGGTGAACCTTCCCTGGAGTGGCTGAGCCACCAAAATGACCCCAAAAGTACATCCAGGATGTCACAAAAGAAGCCATGTCAGAGTTCGTAATTCAACTACAAGAAAAAGACTGGGCAAAAATGGCAACCAATGTCCAGCCACTGATGTGTGCCCTGAAGCTGAAACACTGTTGGGTTATGTAGCAGGACAGTGATCCAAAAACATAACAGCAAGTCTACCTTTGAATGATTAAAAAAAAAAGAACGACCTAGTTTAAGTCCAGACTTCAATCCAGTTGAGATTATTTGGTATATTACTTGGATGACCTTCTGTTCCAAACTCTCTGTTGTGCCTGAATTAAAACAATTCTGCAAAGAAGAGTGGATCATGATTCCTCCACAGTGATCAGCGCCAGTTATCACAAATGGCAAGTTGCAGTCCTTGTTGCCAAGGTTGGCACAATCAGTTATTAGGGTTAGGTATAATTACCTTCTCCACAAAGGGCCAAGGAGGATTGGAGAGCTTATCTCTCCCCCTTAATAAATGAAATCCTCTATTTAAAAACTGCCATTCGTATTTAATTGGATTTCTGTCTAATATTAGAATTAAATGATGACCAGAAATATGTAACAAATATGCAAAACAAAACAAACAAACACACAAACAAAAAAACAGGAGGAGGGCAAACACTTTTTTTCACAGCAGGTCACCTTCTTTACATTGAAAAAAAAAAGTATCCCAATGTTTATGAGCCGATTGTTAAAAATATTTACATAAAACACGAGGAGGCTAGTACTAAAGGACAAGCTATTCACACTGAAAGTCACGTGTGACTAGTGCAAAAATGTTTGTCCTAATTGACACAGTAATAGTGAGCTTATATCAGAATGACTGAATAAGACTGGCTTCAAAATCAAACCAGAGAAATGACAGCTTTGTGTTTCATCATTCTCCCTCACTGGTTTGATCATATTTGGGGAAAACAAAAAAAGATGCAGATGCATAGAACCAAAAGCAGACTTGATTTAGCTACAAGAAAAAAGGCTCACAACACTTTGTGATTTCTGACTCTTTAGAGTTTTGCAATAAAAAACAAAACTAGAGCATTTGTATGTTTAGGAGTTTTTGTGGCCGACTACATTTTTAAAGCACTTTCCTACCAACTCAAAACATATTTACATGTTTAAGATTCCCTTGGACGCTCAACAAAAATAAAATGCAAAAATCCTCAAACAAATAACAACGTTGACACTTTTTTTTTGTTTGTTAAATCCTTGGAGAGGGCAAGAGCACAGAAAATTGCTTCAACAACTGATTGCATCCATAAGCATATTTGTCCTTCTTTCAGTGCTCTTTATGGTCTCCGTCCTCTTCCAGTTTTCTAATCTCTGCCTTAAGGTGGTTGATGTTCTCTCTGCTGGCTTTGAGTTTGTCTTTCAGCTCTGCGATCTCTTGGCTTGTTCTCTTCTTTGCCACTTCCAGTTTCTCCTTGGTCCTCTGCTCCAGTTCACCGACTGGAGAATCGCACAGACATGAAGACAAAAGCGACTCAAAACTTGTGAATGCCTTTTTGTTTTGTTTTTTAAAACCGTGTTGAATATATGAATACATACACTCCGTCTCATGTTTGTAGGCTCCCAGGGTAAGTTGCCTCGATGTGGTCAGTAGCTGCTGCATCATGGCTGTTGGATCCTGAAAGATCTAAAACGCAGAAAAACGACGCATTCAGAGTTCTCGCTCTCAACAATAACATGCAGCGATTGATGAGCTCACACAAACTGATATACAAACACAACCACCATCAGAGTCTAAAGCAATGGTACCATTTCATCGTAGAATTCAGACACAACTGTCTTCTTGGGCATGGCACTGGAATCTGACTGGAACAGCTTCAATAGGTGGTACAAGGTCACCTAAGAAAACAAAACCAGAAATTCAAGCAATGGACACAGGCACATTTTAAATAAGCTGATCCTCATATACAACTATATATTACTTATCAAGTGCTGAGGATTACACAGTGCTGTTGTGTAAATATAAATCAGATGGCTTCTGATGTTTTTTTTTTCTTGTAGGAAACCATACACTAAAGAAGAACCATTTAAACTGTACACTAAGAGAAATAGCACACCACACTCAAAAGTGTATATTACTTTTATTTATAACGTGTATTTGAAATACTAGGGTGGTGGTTTAGACACTCACCTAACAAGTGATTTGGTGGAATATAAATAAAACTGATTAGAAAATTTTAAACTCTAGCTCTCTCCTATATGCATCTCTTGTCCCGTCTCCCTCTTTCCTTTCCCCTCACCCCCCAAATAAATCAAAGCAGATGACGGAAAGCCCGCTCATCTATCTCCTTAACCACTTATCTAATTCAGGGTCATGGGCTGGAAACTATCCCAGATTCACAGGGTGAGAGGCAGGGTATACCTTGGACAGGTCTATGACAGAGCTAATACAGATTGAAAGGCAACTAATTTAGAACTAGTTACCCTAACATGTGTGACTGTGGGAGGATGACACTGAGAGAAGCTACGCAGATACAGGGAGAACATGCTCCACACAAAAATGGCCCAGCTGACCAGGAAGGACAAACCTTGTTTTGAGGCAAGGCTGCTAACCACTGTGTCTCCATGCCACTCAAGCTCTAAAATGTCTATCATCAAGCAGTGAAAATATATTAAAACCCTTTCATTCTGGTCCACCTGTATGGTGGATTCAAACCCCGGACCTTGCTGTAAGGCAACGGTGATGACAACTGCACCACCGTATCGCTCAGCTTTCTCTGAAACAGCTAAGTAACTATTCGTGTTGGCTCTTACAGGTCTCTCATTGGGATCGATGAAGAAGATCTTGATGATGATCTCAAACTCCCCCCAGCCTGTCTCTGTGATTTCATATGGAGGCTTAGTGACCACTGGAAATAAGAGAAACACAGAGCTTCACAGAATAATGAATTTTCTGAAAAAGTGTCATATATTAAAAATGGATAGATTACCATTTCCAGTAAACCCTTCAATATTTCATACTTGCAATGTAAAGAGTCATCTCACCTCTCAGAGGGTTACCATAGCTCTCATGTAGCTTGAACTGGATCTTCTTCACATAAGCTGACATATCCTGGAAGAAAAGTATTTTTTAAGTCTTTTCAAACAGCATTTTGTATCCTTTTCCAGGTAAATGACACATTTTGTAGGCCATGCTAAATCCCTCTTACTGATGTGGAAGCCTCACCTCATTTCTGTAAGGCTTCACATACACAGACCACTGGTGTGTGTGCCCATCCTCTTCTCTCTTCTTTCCAAAGTAGCGGGCAACATTCCCAAACACAATAGGCTTCACAATAGTCACTCCCTGCAGCCAACAGAGAGGATACAGAAATTTAAAGACAGGCATGACAACGGTACAAGTGGCAAATACAGAAGTACAGAAATTGAATCCGACCACGCGATTTTCGTCAAGTTATCTCAATCCACGTTAAATTATTCTGCTCATTGTTTTAAATGATAGAAAAATCACAAAGTGGTTCGCCTACACTACACTAGTGTGGCGTTAGTTACGTTACCTTAACGCGCCCCCCGGAATCTGGACCAAATTCAGTCATCTTTTTGAACATATTACAACTAAAACAGTGCCGCTAATCCTTTAGTGCGTTATGCAGGACTCTTTGTTGCCCTCTCAGCTTTCTTGTCTAAAAACCTTGCCATTTAGGCATTAAAAGTAGGCGTTACACACAGCGCACTACCATTTTAAACTGCCAGCCAAACAAGCGCCGGAAGTAGGTAGTGCAACGTATTAATATGTCCTGGTAGAAAGGCTAGCAGGACTCTAAAGTTCCGGGCCGGGCGGAAGTAAGAACGTTTGCGGTCATTACAAAAGCAACCAAACTATGGCCAATAAATCCAGAACCTTTTAGCTCTAGGATTCTGTGACTTTTTACTTCTTCAAGTGACATGATGATGTCTAACATGCCTGATAATACAGAAAACAGCAATTACTTTCGGCAATCCTATTTTCATTTGCTCATTATACTGGTTATTTTCGTCACTTTTAACGTCTAAAAATGTATTTATCTGTCAATGTTTCTAGTGAGGAAAAACGAATCACTTACGCAATGCTATTTTAAGTATTCGTTTTATCCAGCAGAACATTCACAATCGGACAGGATGTCGATTATTTTTACACTATAGTTAAGTTTTAAACCTCTACACACATAGGTTATCTTTAAACCTCCTCACACCTGATATTCTGCACTTCTGTCCGACACCGTTTTATACTTTAACAATCCTTTATCATTATATTAGGCTGGACTTAAAATTCTGTTCAAAAGTAAGCCTTCAGGTCTAATACTTAAGGTGTGAGGTACAGGCAATCTCCAATGGCAAAACAAGTGTTTTGGCCTAAAGTTAAGAAAATACTTTTGGACATAATACAAATAACAAAATTTACTTTCCCACACTTGTTTCTAATAAAACGAAACCCATTATGCACAAATAAAACAGAACCACAAAACCAACTTAATTTGTATACTTTATTCTTTGAGAGCAAATGATAATCTATTTACCTGCTATGTATCACAACATGTAACCATTACTGGCGGTAGAAATACACCTGAACCTTAACTTAAAATCCCAAAGTTACAGTGGCGATACAAATTCAGCAAGTATTCTGCCCAAGTAAGACCCTTTAATATGGAAGCTCATTTCTGTGTTTTTGTTATTTTACTCATCTTAAAAAACTATAACCTCAATTTGTAGCAGAAACATGTTTTCAAGTCATCATGCAAAGGCCCCTTTACTAGACAAGTGTGATTTTAAAATCAAGTACCTAGAAACTTGCGAAACTAGCAGTTAGTGAAAACATCTTAGTCATACAAATACTGAAAACTGATAAATACATATGTATATACTTTCCAACTGCTTGTGCAGTTTAAAGACTCCCGCAGTCGATCAGACTTCTTGTTTCTTCAATGGTTGTGTTTGTAGACCTAAAAATCACTTACCTTTTCGTGCTGCGGAACAAAACCCAAAACAAATAAAATGAAACCAAATTCCTGTACAAATGCTCTTATTCTGGAGGGCTACACTTCTGCTTAGCTTGACCAGGGCAGAACTCCACTGGAGTTACCAAATTCAATGCAAAACTAAAGAAATAATTTAATAATTTAAATAAAAACGAATAAAAAAAGAAAGAAAACAAGGCACATGTATAGTATTTTGCCCAAACCGATCAGCAGGAAATAAAATGAGGAAATAGAGCAACTAACTAACATCAAATTAAGCCAATATCATTAAAAAAAACATGATATAGGGCCTTAAAACTTCCAACATTTTTAAACTAACTGTTCAGAAATAGCATCATTATATTCAAAAAGGTCCCATTTTTTTCTTTTTTTTAATATCAAAATCCAATTTACATTTGTTTACATTACATCACACTTTCAGTGAATTTGCAAGGATACGGAGCAAAGGCACTTACATTCCCCAATAAGTCACTTTCTGAAGTATACTGAAAAAGAATACACTTCAAGAGCAAGACAATGGTTTCAAAAGATGCTGGTACAGTTTCCTGCACAGCCTGTCATTCAAATTCCTGCTGTGACTCTGAATCCAAAAGTTTTACATTCACTGGTTACGTTTGAAAATAAGGCATTTTCTAAATTGTTACGGAGTGAAATTGAAATGACATTATTAAAAGAATAACCCCCAGAAAGACAAGGTGCGAACACAAGTTTCAGATTTTTTTGGGAGCAAATTAAAAATTTCACCAATGGCGATAATTTCACAAAAATGTGTTATAATATTGTCTGCATGCAACTTTGTTCTCGTTAAAAACCATACAAAAGCACCATGTTATTGCGCTGTATTCATACTGATTTGCATTTAAGACACCCGATGACACACTGCAGCATCAAACCTCAACATACCTGTAATTTCCTGATTTCCATTAACTCACATTTTAAAAACTGGTGGTATAATCGTGTTATATCATGTGTGCTGGGAAAGCTGTGGCAATGTAATTTACACTTATTTTTTAAAAAATAATTGTAAATTATAATAAAAATAACTGAGTAAAAGCTAAACCAGTCATTGCTATTTTTCCAACCTTGCATGAAAAAAAAAAAAAAAAAAAAACCCTAAAAGCTTCAACAAATTGCTGTCCGTCCATTTTGACAAACATGCAAAACAATAAAAATGACAGGTGGCAGAATGTTTTACACTGTACCGACAAATTAAAACGCATTTTGTTCATGGTTTAGTTATTTAAACCTATCATGGAAAAGCCTTCAAAATTCAAATACATAAAACATGTAACATCTAAAGTGAAAGGCATGTAACAAGAAACTGGTCCATACTTCCCAATTAAGGAATAAACACTTTCACTCAAGCTTCAACTATGAAGGCTGCTTGAATTAAAATCTGCTTTTAAATCCATTATATGACAGAAGTGAAAGACAATTTGTTCATGCTATGTTTCAGTGATAATTATTCAGCGGAATTACAAAATAACCCACCATCAAAAACCATTCCAAACAGCGGGGTCTTCTCTTTTTGGTTTAGCATGTTGACTACGTAATGCAACATAAGATAAAAACAAACCAAAGTGACTACATCCTTGCCATTTACCATGTAAAAAAAAAAACAAAAAACAAATAATAATAATAAAAAAAATCTAAGTCAGTATATACATTTAATATAAATGAACGAAAAATGTAGAGGAATTCACTGAATGCAGAGTGTACCTCAGTAAACATTTTTTATTACAACACCATCTAATTTTAATCAAAAAGCAGAGACATTTACAAACGTACTAGCCATGAAAAGAATAAATGAGAACGAGAGAGTGAGGGTAGGAGAGAAAACATCAAGCACATACCTTATAAAAACTGATCTCTAAACTGTATATACACACACAATACAGCGAGCCAAAGAACAAGAAAAAAAAAAAAACAACAACAAAAGGGTGTAATGTTTGTGTCTTCTATTTGGGGATCGTGCAGGCCATTTATTTATTTATTTATAAGTCGCAAAAAAGCATCACGCTTACTTTTCATGTCAAATAAAACATCATAAAAATAAAAGAGCTGTTTGGAAAGATTCTTTTGTCATCTTTAGTTACCATGAGTATAGAAGTTTGGATAACATAGCCTTACACAGGTCAGGGTCTTCCATCCGCTGCTCTTAAACCAGGCAGACAACAGATAGAGAGAAGGATGGGTGGAGAAGGATAGGAGAGGAGAAATGGAGGGGGTGGAGGAAGTGATGGTAGTTGTGTTCCTGTCCGGTCATGCACGGAGGGCAGGGAAAGAGTTCCTCCTTTTCCTTCCATCCATCCTTGATCCTCGTAAGCTGAAAGGTGTCAAAACGAAGGGTGGAGTTTGGTTTGGAGCCAGCCCAACAGTGAACATTTTCCCCACTCATCATTAAACCTCTACACTACATACACAAAGTTTACACCAGGGCTGGGTTCAATTCACCGTCACTCTGAGCCACGAGGTTGGAGTTTGCTCAAGTCATTTTTATCTTAGCAAAGGCAGTGCAGACAGAGAAGTCTCTTACACGCAGCATAAATGGCACTATGGTATTTAACTGCTACTCTTAACACTCTGTTGGTTGTGTATTGTCCCCAACCCTAGCACAGACACAGAAACATATCATGCACAGTTCAACAGCTAACATTCAAGAACTTAAATTGAACTCTATGAGTATGTACACGCACACACAAAGAAAAGTATTTCAATCTTTCGTCAAGTCTGCCCTGCAACTACGGAAACATGGATTTCAAAGTATGTACATGCATATACACGTATATACATGTACAGATGTTTGCATGTGGCACTTAACTCTTTTAGACATAAAAATATTGATAACCATATGTAAATGCACTGAAACACCTGGGGCAATTTTGTTTGTTCTGTTACAGAGTTACAAATTCAGGGAAGGACAATAGGGACAGTGGTTATAGTGTCTAAATGGCCATATTGTGTATGACCATTTCGTCTTGTTTACAATATTAAATGGTGTACCTGCATCAACATTAGGTAATACCTTCAGAATATTAAGTCTTACTTATAGCGTTTCAATTAATTTGGCTCTCAGAGGACTATAAAGTGCAGAAAACAGAAATAAATAACCTTTAAAACTTACAGGGAGTTTTATTGGAAGACCTGAGCTAAAAGTTTTTTTTTTCCTTTGATAAGTCTTTAACTATAGCAATAGGGATTTACCTTTCAATCACCTCCAAACATTTCAGTATTTGTCATTATTACCAGCAGGTTACATAACGGAGTACACTGAAAACTTTGCTCACTGTGGCAAATACCAGAGAAAACCATGGTTGCAATTTGTTTAAGCTGTATATTAAAGTGAAAAGACAAAGGACCAAAACAGTTATCCATCAAAAAACAGCTATGAAGGAAAAAGCACATACGGCACATCTAGTGAAACCTTTCCTGCCCAAGCATACCAAGAGTTTTAATAAAACAGAAAAAAATATGACAGTGTGATTCTTACGGTGTCGCAAACATGGTCAAAGTCAGGAAGATGGAATATTTTGTGCTTGTAATGCTTTGCATAGACAAAGTTGAGCATGCAAAGTACAGGAGTCAGAAAAAGCTACCTCTAACCATAATTGTAAAGGACAGCAGCAGTGGGATTACAGTTCTACACAATTTAAAGCACCTTACCAGAAATTTGTACAATTTTAAGATGAAATGACAAAAATTGTGATAAAGAAAGTCATTTCAAACTTGTTGTTTCAACATTAAAATGACTGAACCATGATTAAGAGATTTTGCTTCACACGCTGAAATGAAGCCAGATAGAACTGGTATCTACACCAAAATTCAAGTAAGTACAGGTGATTTTTTACATTGTTTAATGGATTCAAATGCATAATGAAATTTGATAGGTTTCATAATCTGAAAGGTTTTCTTTACATAGTATATGCCTGGAGACAAAAGCAGTTGAGCTTACAGCCACATTGCACATCTCAGTACTCCTCTCATAATCACACTTGACATAACTGAACTTTTCTCAAGGGTGAAACATTTAAATTATCAGCCCAATAAATCATTTATATCGGGTTCATTATATTTCATATAAAACTTTAAAATGTGTAGTAGGTGTGTCAGTTAATACAGAATGGAAATGAAACGGGACAGAGCCAAACCAGGGTCAAGCAGTCCATGAAATAGTCTCAGTCCACTAACTTGGCTATGTGCTACAAAAGGCTCGGCAAATAAGATTGCGCCAATACTTACCACTGCCTAGCTTATAGACTGCCATCTAATCTTTCACTGTTATTAATTATGTGTGTATGATATTTCAGAAAACTACTCACAGACAGCTCATTGATTATGAAAAAGGTACACATCTTTTTCACCAACTAACAGTTCATGTGTTATATACTGTAGTAACTGTGGGGCTAAATATTAAGAATTAAAACCATGTCCATTTGCCTTAGCTCAGCTATAAAGTCAAACATTTTCTTTTTCTATATTCTGGCCAAAGGCCAAAGTTAAGGACATGAATTACATCTCAACCATGTTATGGACATGAAGGCTGTTTGATTAGCTATAACCTAAACTGTTTGACTCTGGTTTGACATGTGTAAATAGCTTGGACATTAGGGCTGCACCCCCCAGCACACATACACCTACAAACAGGCTGAAGAGAAAGCATAAAAGTAACTTAAGCCTGGTACAAACACTGTGCGTTCTTGCATGGAAACATGAACAGATAAACAGTGTTAAGCACATCTCGAAACAACAAACGGCCACACTACAAGAAGAGGAGCAATGTACTTGGCACTCAATCTCAATTATTTTCCTCTTTAACAAGCTCACAAATATCAGTAGAAATGCAAAGGCATGGTGCAATGGAAAAATTGGGACATATCTCACCATCAACATTTTTGCTCGCTTAATTTTGATCTTTAGTCATTTTTACTGCAAACAACAATTTATAAATATTCTTCAAATGCATTTTGGTGCTTGACACATTGCAATAGGCTATTAGGTCTTGTGCCCACAGAGGATCTCCAACAATGACAACAAGATGTCTATTAAAGGAGACAGCAGCAACTTTAACATTTTATTTATTAGTTTGATTTTTTTTTTTTTTTTTAACTTGGACTTAAAATGAAAGTTAATTTACAAAAAAAATCTTATGTATTTGACAAAATGTAATCTTTTGTTGTGAGGTTCTCGGTGGACACAAGGTTTTGCAGGAAAAACGTGAGCATGTAAAGAACAATTTTGTGGAACAGAGACCAGATCAACTCAACAAGCTAGAACTGACAGCTAAAATCAACACAACTCTCCAGTATTTACATGAAAAATTGCCTTTAGAGTTTAAGTTACATTCTTTTGGCTACTTTCAAAATGCAGCAACTCCATAAGTTAAACCACCCCAGTTATTATTTTCCAGTATAAGAGAAATAGGCACACAAACAGGGAACAATGTGAATATATAAATATCTTTCCAATGGGTGGAGCATAGTTCATGCTGTTTGAGTGCAAATACATGAAGATATCTTCAGTGGATAAAGCACATTTAAAATCAGGACAGATATTATTTGGGAATGGGGGCAACTGTACAGAGATGCTGTAGGGTCCACGTAACCTACTCAAGTCTGCTTTACATGCAACACTGTAGATATCTCAGAGCTTTGGCAGTAAAAGACAGCCAAAAAACCCAAAATGGCTGAAACACTATATCCAAAGAAGCCCCAAAACTTTCCACAAGTTAGCAGGTTATTCAACGTGCAACTGAAGCAATGGAAGAAAGCATCTTCACAAAGAGATTACATAACGACTTGTGAAACCCTGACTCTGAAAATCCCAGACAAAAAGCAGCACAGGGCAGAAAGGCAGCCTAAAATAGTTGACTCAAATCATGTGAGAGCAATACACTATTAATGATTTTTTTTATCCAACAACGTTAGGTGCAAGCTGACAATTAGAATGTTCAGATAAATGCATCTACAACCACAGCACCAGTTAAAATTGAATTAGCTTGGATATAATGCTAAAAATAGACAAAAATCTCACATACCTGCATGATCTCTTGGCTAAATTGGACCGATTAAACTGAATGCTGAAGCCTAACTCACTGTCATGAATGTTATGCACCAGTACAAGTTCTCCCATAAAAGTGACTTTCTTTTCCTGAATCATGCAGAGCCCTCTAAGGGTTAACACTGAGAATATTTTCCTGGACTAGGTTTGTGTTCTCTCGCAGTAATGTTTTCTCTGATCCATGTAAAAAAACAAACAAAAAAACAACAACGCTAAACTCTATTATGAAATTGCATTATACTAATTTTGACCACTACACAAGTAAGTTGACTTTCAGTTGTGACTGTTCAGGCACATGTATTCAGTTACTACAGAAACTAGAGGAGCTCTTAAACTGTAGCTTTGATTTTTGACTGAAGTTGTTGGAAGACAAACTGTCAGCGTGATAGTGGCTGTGACCACAGCTGTGCGTTAGTTACGGTTACAGTTGTGACATACAAGGAGTCGTTTATGATAGGTCTAACATTGACTGCACATGGAGGATATATGTAACTTGTATTGAATATACTCTATTTCTGAACACTTGTGGTATTTTAACAACTAGCATAAAAGCATTTTAATAGTACAGCAAGATCTCCACTTCAGTCCATATGCAGAAATTATATTACTATGAGCGAACGCCACAATGGCCTACAAAAAATAAAATAAAAATAAAAACAAAAACTCCAGTGTAACCTTCCGGGGGAGCTCCACAGACTCAAAGAGCTTAGGATCTAAAAACACTGATTTTCTTAAGCTTGTGCTAGCCTTTAACTTTAAATCACTTTTTTTTTTTTAAATTGTGTGTCAACATAATAGTATGATAATGCAAGTTATTATGCACAGATCTGAAATATTAACCAATTCTCATTACACAGACTCTGCAAACAATTTGATTTCAGCCACTGTTGAATCCAGGCTGACCTTTGCCTCATAAAATGATTAGATGTGACACTGCGTGTAAAAACCACACCAGCATTTGGATATTCAGTAACATATATTTTGACAGATTATTATGTCAAGGGGACAGGCATTTTTCCCTCCTCCACTTCACCTCAACATCTTAAGTTAAGGTGCAATTATACAAAAGTGAGCAAACACTATGCAATAAAAACATTCAACTTGACACAGGTGAAATGTCAGGTGATATTACTGTCATGCAGATATGGCACAATGACATTAGTTTTTTTTAAGGGGTGGGAGGGGGCAAAAGTCATAAGATGTTGACACTGATAAATGTTTAACTTCTCTGAAATATCACAGGACAATGATATATTTCAAATAACACACTAAAACTGGAATATGTACAACACTATGAATGAAACATTTACAAAATGTAGATTGGTCTACTACTGACAAGGTGTAAAAACAGTGTAATCAATTCAATGTTAACAAACCATATAAAATCTTAATTTGTACGAAATACTGTAAAAATGACTGTACAGTATTGTGACACCCAAATCTTGCCAATCAGGATTGAAGCGACCAGTACAAGCCCACTGATAAACCAAACTTTGGGAATTCACATATAATTAATATGGCAGTTCTGAGTGTTGATATAATAAAAATCAGGCACATTTGGTCCACTTGCCACAGTTCCTGGTAAAAGCCAAAATTCTGATAATTTCTACTTTATTGATGCAAAAACCCTTTAAATTTTATAAAAAGAGTAACTGCAAAAATCATCTCAACAGGTAACGTATGCTATGCACAGGTGCATACAACTTTTATTCTAAAATGTATTTGTTGTAATATCCAAAGCAACCAATGAACTTTGTAATTTACCAGCCTCTGAAGCCTGCAGACCAAAAAGTACAAAATACATCCAGAAATCCAGTGACTTATATTTTCTCATTTCAAAGGGACTACAGCGTAGATACAACACTTACAGACTCCACTGTGCCAAAGTGAATACATCAAGTGTGTATTTTGCACATTTTGTGATACAATAGAAATTGTGATTACCACTGAAGAAATATGGTTTAAGTTGACTTACCTTATACCTACCTGAAGACAGAGGACTGAGTTTTGAAAGCCTTTTCGTTGCCTACCTCTTACTCTCCTCATGCAGTAATTTAATATTTTGATGATAACATCCATTATCAGATGTTTAACCATTATATGGGTGTAACTAGGATTTGGCTTTGGGATTTATCTAGAGCCAGTGAATCCAATGAGAGGAGGTGTGCAAACAGAGAAGACTTTAAATCTCAACTGTGCCACTTTCTGTTTCTGTCATGCCGTCTGAGCCTAAATTAGTTTGCCTCAAAGTTTAAGACAAAGATGCTGAAAAATACACAAAAAAATAAAACTGGTACCCACCTCCTTTCCGGCTAACGGTGCCGGTATTCCCTCTCCCTCTCTCTTTCCCGGTCACGGTCCCGATCTCTCTCACGATGACGATCTCTCTCCCGACTGCGTTCTCTGTAATAGTCCTCATGCCTGTCGCGGCTACGAGATTTGTGTCGTCGACTCTTTTCTCTTGAGCGACTGTGGTCACGTTCCCTGGAACGTTCTCGCCTTGCAGAGACAAACGAACATCAAGTTACAGTTGTGAAGTTTTTAATAAAGTTCAAACACCTACAATTTCTTTTAGTCCACAAGTATGTAACTACCTGTTTCAGTGTAATATTTAACAGGCTTACCTTGACGCAGAGCCATAGCTCTTTGACTCAATGCCATGGAGACAGTCCTGCAGAGAACTGATGAGGACCTTGCAGCGGTCGTCTGCGGACACTTTGGACTGCTTAATCAGACTGATGGCTGTCACCAAAGTCTCTATAGCACTGCCATAATCACCTAAAAAGAGAAAACAGTGGAGTAAACTTTTCATCCATCCATCCTCTTCCACTCATCCTTATCAGGGTCGCAGGCGGGCTGGAGCCTATCCCAAGTGTCATAGGGCAAGAGGCAGGGTACACTGGTCTATCGCAGTGCTCTTTTACTTCTTTCAAGAAATTTAAGTTTTCCCTTACTGACAACATGTGAACGCACTTATTTAAATGTATTGGAAATATATCACCATTTGCCTTACCTGCACTGGCATCAGAAACTGCTCTAGATATGGCACTGGAGGAGATGGCTCTGTTCCTGTTCATAATCTCCTCAAACTCTGCCTCGCTTAGAGGGGTCCGTGATGTGTCCATGTCCCTGAAATAACAGAAGAAAAAAAAAGATCAAGCATTAATTTATTTTTAATTCATAGTATCCAAGTTCTAGGCTACCCGAGTACAAACAAAAACCTCATATTGAATGTGTATATATAGTGGTTTAATTTGTTGTTCTTCTCAGTAATTGTTCTTACCGGCCTCCAGGCCCATAATCTCCTCTTTCATATGGTGGAGGGCGGCCGTATGGGTCATTTGGTCCCGGTGGACCTCGGCTATCATTGGGTGGCATGCTGTTGTTGCCAGGGGGAGGAAAGAAGGCAGGGTTCACATGCGGCGCTGGTGGTGGGCCACCTGGCGGGGGACCTGGCAGATGTGGTGGTGGAGCCAATGCCATAGGCGGGCCAATAGGTCCAGGAGGACGGGGTGGAAAGGGTCCTGGAGGGGGTGGGCCCTGCTGAGGAGGTGGGGGACCAGGTGGAGGACCATAGCCTGGAGGTGGAGGACCTGGAGGCAGGGGTCCCAGTGGTGGCTGGCCAAACTGCCCAGGGAAGAGAACAGGTGGAGGAGGCCTATCGCCACGATTTGGAGGCCCAGCCATGGGAGGTGGAAGACCCTGGCCTGGAGGTGGAGGTCCTGGAGGTCCTGGGGGACCTGGTGGACCAGGTGGGGGGCGTGGAGGACCCTGCATGCCACCTAGAAAAAGAGCAAATTAACAAAAAAAGACAACCAAAAAAAAAAAAAAAAAAAAAAAAAAAAAAAAAAAAAAAAAAGAACATGAAAGAAGTAAGCTCCAGTAAACCAAAATTCTTGTCTAGAATGACACAGACTGAGCTCTCCACCTTTTTCTACAAGAACAAGTAACTGGCAGATTGAAAACATAAAATGTATACTGGCACAGTCGATTTGTGGGCTCATTTTTGAAGTCTAGTGGCAGCCTGTATTTTTCTATGTATCTTTTGTACAGTGATACCTTTAGGTACCAAATGGCAATTTAAAGCAGGGACAGTGACACAAAGATGAAAGAAAGCCATTGCTGCACAGGACAACAATTGACGAAAAAAGGTCACAAATGACACTGAAAAATAAATCAAAAGGAAAGTGAACAGATGAGAAGCTATAGTTTCAAGCAGGCGTTGCCGTTTTAATTAAACAAGGCCTTGTATTGGACTGGACCCTTCTCATTAACACTTGACTCAGAAGATGCACTGCTATAAGTTTCCAGAAGCCCTAAATAGAGTATATACAGTGTATAAACTGCAATGTGGAACAAAGGAGTTTGACTGCTTATGCCACCTGAAACAACTAATTTACCTGAAATGTACTTATGCTCAAAAGAACAAAGCACACGTTTATTTCTTTTGGTAAAAATGTTTTAAAATTTAAAATGCTGCCACATGTGGGGCAAATAATGTAAACTGTCGATTCAGAGTAAGCAATGAAGATCAGCTGCCTAGGGGCAGTAAATGTGACAGTTTAATTTGTCAATAAAAAGCCAAAGCTAGGATTATAAGGCCATCTAATAAATCAATTAGATTAATCGAGGTATTTCACCTCTGCTACGCCAGCTCCCGTTCCTGCCCCCCGGCTGGAAGGGATTGAAACTCATATCCATCAGAGGGCCATCTTGGTGCCTAACCAGATCTGGTCTCATGCCCGAGCCTAATGGGGAAAAAAGCAAACCAATCACAACTCCTCCCTTCAGAAACCTCTACCTGCTAACTGAAGGCCTGTCGCAGCCCAGCGGGACGGGGCACCAGCCACTAAGCAAAAGAAGAGATATGAAAAGGGGGAATGGAGAACAGCCTGCTACTCCATTCTCTTACTGCTTCCGAAAAGCAGCCAAGCCAAGATTTGTAGAGAGGTAAGTTTGGCAGCGTACCAAGTCAAGCTTTGAGAAAACCTCTAAGTAAAGGAATGGTGTTGGAAATTTTCACAAGCAGGAAACCACACCATGAGAAGGATCAACTGTTCAACTTGAGGTTAAGTGAGACAAAAATTCAAACCAGACAAAGAAGGAAACATGCAAAGAAAGCCCTGCCAAGGGAGAGATGAGATATCCCGCAATAGTAAAAAAAAAAAAAAAACATACTAGATCAGATGAGCCATGATCCCATGCAGGTGTGAGTAACAGCAATGCCTGGACTGTGCTACCTGAGCAGCACTGCCAGACAGAAAGCAGAACTTCCAAGTTTTTAAAACACTTGTGACTTTAAATCTGTTGCGCTGTAACATTATATGTATTTATTTTTTTCAAATCATCACACAGTCGACAATACTGAACAGAAACAAACTGACCTACAAAGTTCAATATGTGATTTAACACAACCTCTGCCAGCTGTGGTGGATCCATACATGACAGGTTGCACTTTTTGTGAGCTGTGTGTCTTTATGGATTTGCTTATATCCACAACACATCCACTCATGAACTCGTTTTGACTGCCAAGTCTCAAAAACTAATATATCCACCTCAAGTTCAACTATATATCCCTATGAAATGTGGTTAAAAAACAAACTTATTTTGGTAATAAACCCACTCAGCATTCAAGACAACACAATCCCTTGATTTGGACCGTTTCTGCCCCTAATTTATTTTTGTTGATGAATTTTTGAATATCAATATTCATTTCTCAAGTAACTGAGTGTTGTCCCATACTACCAATACATCTTGCTAAACTAACCAGGAAGGTGTGGTGGAGGACCCCCAGGCCCTACAGGACCAGGGAAGCGGTCTCCTCCAGGGCCAGGTGGTCCGGGGAACCTGCCTCTCCCTCGGCTTCCCATGGGGAAACCACCACGGGGTCCAGAACCAGGAGGACCAGCCTTTCCTTCCCCAGACATCTGACCTGTCTGGGTACCTGTGAAAAGACAAATACAAACTCATTTCATATGTAATCATTAATCAATATGTGCACATGGCTAAGAGACAAAAACAAGGATAAATTACATGTATGATTTCATACGTATGCTAAGATTAAACACAGGTCATGTAACATATGTGATGTACTGTGTAGTCAAATATATTTATATTTAGAATAACTCACACATTCCAACATGTGCAATTTTTTTACACAACTTCCTTTAACCAGCACTGATCTCTTCGGATAAATAAACCATGTGCACACTTGCCCTACTTACTTTTGCGTGACTGCATTTCAAACTGGCTGAGGGACTGTTTGTTGCATGGTGTGACAATGGGATTCTGACCATGGAGCTCCCTCTTTGACAGCAGCTCCATTAACTTTCTGGAGGATGCCTCTGAACCAACACACACCAGAGCAAACCTGGAAAACACACGCAGAGGGCATACAGTCAGACAATTGATCGCATAAACATCAATGCACTGTGAAATTCTGAGCTGATAGTAATATCTAAACAAGGTCACTGGCACTCAAGAACATATTTATGTCTTTAGAAACAACAGCCTTGTGGTAATACAATCATAAAACTGACTCCGTGTGATCCCACCCTGTACTCCTAACACGAAATACTTAACATACTCTTTGACTTAGCCCAACTGCATCATAGAAATAAAATACTAAAGACCTCACCCTTTTGACTGGCCATTGGCTCGGTTTTCAAAGAACTTTATCTCCAGCACATCTGTGATGCCTATCACCCGGATAGCTTCTGTCAAGTCCTCATCAGTTGTCCACTGCAAAAACAACCCCAAGCAAAATGGCATCATGTATGGATCACAATTAAATTTGTAAAGTCCAATTTTTAGACAATCTGACACTCACCCATGTGAGGTTTCCTATGTACAGGGCAATTCTTTTTCCAGTGTAGGTGTACACCACGTTGGGCGGGGCGCTTTTCCCTCCCTCTGTGCCACCTGGGGCTGGCAGTGAATCCAAGTAATCCCGGTCTTCTGGAGCATCACCATTATTGGCTGATGGGGATATTACGTCATCATACAGGTCGATCTGCTCATGAACCGGGTAGTCAGCTTCCTGTATTAAGAATGCAAGAACAGATCAGTGAAGCACTTAATATCTAGAGCTTGATAATGATCTGATGTTATTAACACCAAGGATATAATTTATCAGCTTCTATGTCTGACCTGATTTTGAATCGGTTTCCTCACCAACACCAGAATAGCAAACCTACATTGGTTTTCACCATCACATTGTACAAAAAGGTTTCCTTGTGACAGGTGTGCAAAATTCCCACTGAATTGAGTTTGATTTAATTGTTTTTTCAATAGGCAGTTGTCAGAAAAACATACCAGCACTCATTAAAAAGATGTAATTCACTATTGAATCAATTCAAGTTCAATAACACTAGCATCATATAACTGCTTTATGCTGACCAGGAAAAGTCAATTTAGGGTTAAGCTTCACAGCATATCCAGATATTGTAGTATGATGATGATAATAATAATAATAATAATAATAATAATAATAATAATAATAACAGCATAAACTTGTGATCAGCAGACAGTCGCAAGCTTCGTAGAACTTATATCCGTATCAAATTAATTTGAAGTGGATTATTTATGCACCCTGTGCGAAACCAATTGCTCCAATTGAGACAAATTAAAAGATTGGGGGTTTACTTAACCAATCTGCCAAAGTCGTGACTTAAATATATCCGTTAAATCATTTTATTCTAATACACTGGCTTACTTTAGTTCAAGTTTGATCACCTGGATAAATTTATGCGTCGTGACTTTCTCCAAGCATGAATGCAAACTGAGTGTTTGCATTATGGGTCAAAATCAAGTATGTTTTGAAAGCTGTTTAGCAGTTCGAGACACAACACTATCTTCACATGCGAGTCCTTGGCTAAGCTGAAATTATAACCACCGTCACAGAAAAGGGGCGTGTGGAAAAAAATATCTTCTGAATAGCCCCAACATTGACCTACTCCATGCTAACAACATGCCGTGTTTATTACACTATTCAGAGCCTACTAAGGTTGGGCGACTGCAGTTTATCGACAATAGGCTGAGGCTATCGTCAGTTATTGGCCTGACCATTGTCGGTTGGAAAATGTTAACACAACCTTAGAGCCTAAAGGCGTTCGGTTTAGCTTAAAACTTCTCTTTATCAACTGAAAAAAGTAAAGACTTACTAGACACGACAGCGTGATAGCTGTGAATTAGTCAATGTCAGCTCGCTAACGAAAGTGCGTTTGTTTGGCTTGCTAGCCCGCCACTGGCGACCATGCCAAGGCCTGATCCCAAGCTACGCCGTAAAGACGGCTGCTTTTAGCATTTACTTGAATAAATAACAACGCACATCACGAAACAACTGCAGCGTGCATATTAATTGCTAAATACATAAAAAGTCGTGTTAAATGTCGACAACCCCACGAACAAACAAAAGTCTGCAAAGCACGTCGATAGCAGAGGCTGCAGGCTTGCAGCATGTTGAAAAGGCCTTGTATGTCAGAGAGCTTCTTTAGCCACAAAAGCTCGCCACTTTGCAGGTTATAATAAATATAGCAGATTATACAGATATAAAAAAAAAATAACACCTATAAGCGAGGTAGGGAAATATGTATTTGTTACCTGGTTGAACTCCTCCTCGACGTCGGCGTAGATGTCGATGTGATCCACACCGTCCGCCATTTTCCTCTGACTAGCAGCTCTCACCGCCTGCGGTGCAGACTACAACGACGGTACACCACAAACAATGAAAAGAAGACAGGCAACGAGCGCCCCCGCTGGTTAATTTCATTCATTACAACATCACCCGTGTAGACCACGGGGAAATCTGTTGCAGTCACTACTGACTGTGAAACAAAAGCCCACCGTGTTAAAAAAGCAAAACTTATCAAACAGTTTACACGTTTATACATCCTCTTTGGCCCCTTTTTTATAGCCTTCAGACGATGTCCCACAATTTACTTGCTTTTGAGGATATTCTCAAGTCTGGCTTTTACCCAATTTATATGAAGGGAAGACTTTCTATTACAATAAACTGCTTTTTGTTACAATGCTATATTCATCAGGGAAAGTTAAAAGAGATCAAAACCTCCAGGGATTGGCAGAGTTTGAATGATGATGTAAACTACCACAAAGAAAATGACACAGAGAAATACACTTCTGTCTTTTTTTTTTTAGTTTCACACAGGAGAAAATATAATGTGAAGAGACACAGAATATATGTGTGTTATAATTATGCCAATCTAGCGTCACATCCTTACTGACAATACAGGAGATTATAAAGACTGTTGTGTGTGAGCACTAGGACAAACTCATGCTTTTCTTTTAATCGCTACTGTATTTATTCAACAAGAGAGCTTGGAATATAATATATGTGGGGTATTCCCCCAGCATTGTTAATGTTTTCCACTTTGCACTAGACAAACGCAGTCTTTGCCCCATATTTAGTTTGTTGGGATCTGATCACCAAAACTGCCAGGCTGTCGCATCAGAACCCCTGAGTGGTATAGATTTCAGAGTGAAACTCGGAACATTGCATGACCATATTTGTCTGCAGTTTACTTGTTTAGGTATTTAAATAATATCAAACGAGCTGTGAAGCAAGAGGCTGAATGCAGCAATTTTAGAACTTTTAATTGACAATTCACTAGAGAGAAAAAAACTTAAAAATAATGCTAATATTGCATTGGTGGTCAGGAGGATGAATTAATCTTCACTAAAACTGCCATGTGTCTACTGGTGGTATTAGAAAACGGTTCTTTTACACATCAAATTAAATATATTTTATTAGTATGAAGATGCAGTGATTAGCAGTGTCACTTGAAAGCAAGAAGCTTCCTCTTTTGTGCCTCCTGGTCCGCTGGGGCCTTTCTATATAATGTTTTATGTTTTACATTTGCCATTCTGGATGCTGTGGGATCCCCCCACAGTACTCAGACGTGCATGCTTAACTGGAGGTTTTAAGTTGGGTGTGAGTGTAGATTTTCTTTGTTTTCTGTCTATCTGTGCTAGACCTGTGATGAATTGACAGGATTTTGAATACAAAGCTTTGACTATCACTAAAATTCCAGTTAGAGTAATTTCTTTTATATATATTACAAAAAAAAGAAATCTCAGGTTGTCAGTAGCCAGAACTGAAGGATTGAATCCACTTATCAATAAAGTCATAATTTTGATAACTGTTATCCATTTACCTTTATGTGGCCAAAATAAATTACTCAAGTTTTTTGTTTTAAGCAGATAAACAACAAAACCCAAATTTATAATTTTATTTACACAGTACAAATTAGGGCCATAGATGTGGCAATGTCAACCCGTGGAGAGTACAAACAAAATCAGGACAGCTAAATAATTAACTCTCAGAAACTTAATAAGATTAACTTATATGTGTGCTTTGAGAGGCAATTAAAAATGGGTGTAGAAAAGGCTACACAGACACTCAGAGCCAAAAATGCATTTAAGTGCTCAGCAAAAAGTGCAAAATATAAAACATACAGGCAAATATATACAAAAATATCATATGCAGTTAGTTTTATAGTGCTAACTGACACTGAGATTACATTTTTATTACTGTGACATTTTATTTTTAGTGACTGAGCTATAATAGCGAGCATTGCGATAAAAGTTACATTTTAAATGAAGAAAAAAAAAGGCTTAAGAAGAGCGTTCATAAACCATATTAAAAAAAAAACTATAAATATTTCTTAATCGCAAAGACATTTGTATATTTTTTCAAAAATGTAAATTCTTGGTGCCAAATACATTGCAAATGCATGTATGCATTGTTTTAATGTGAAAAGTTAGACATTTCCTTTTTAGAGTGTGACGATCTTCAGCTCATTTATCGTTTATGCATTTACAGCCCATTAGCCAGACATACATAATTAGTTACGGTATGTACAGAGAGACAAAAGACAAAAAAAGGCAGACAGATACGTAAAAATAATAGTCACAGAAACATACATTTATAGGATGGAAATAAAAAGTGAAAACATAGTTCCCATAAACGCTGACAACTCCATTCTAGTTTACTTTATTGCATATTAATTTCACACAGATAATTATCCACTGAGTCCAATTGTGCCTGCTTGTCCATTATTAACGTGACTCATTAGCAACACAACAGTGCCTCCCTGTATCCCCCACTGCAGCCCTCTTCACACTGGCTATTCTGCATTTATAAAAGTCTGCAGATAATGCATTATCTGCAGACTTGTGTGTGTTTACTGGGTGTATCCAACGCATATATAATATGCATGTGTGTGGATAAATACACAGCTCATTGGGACATGGAAATTGAATAATGCATGTTTTTCTCTTTTCACTTTTTCATGTTGTACCGTGTGAATCGTTACTTCTTATTCATTAACACCCATCACAGCTAGCCGTCACCCTTCAGTCCCTTTTCGTTCAGAGAAACAATGTGGAGCATAAGAAAATAACAAATGAAAAAAGTATCCATGGCAACAACAGTACAGCAAGTTCTCTTTTTTGCAGCTTTTAGTTCAAATGTAATTCTCTGAAGTTAAACAGCAAATGCTCATAACGTCCAAGGTCCTTAAACAGAGATTGCGTCTGTCGCCTTTGTGAGCAAAATGTGCAGAATCTGTTCAGTAGTTTAAAAAAAATCCACTCAAGGATTTCAGTTTTTGTCATCTTCTCCTTTATATGATGAAGCATAAAAGAGTTATCCGTTATCCGTCATCAGGAAACAACAGCAGCAAAAAGGAGACACATGAAGAAAACAGAGGTTGACGGAGATATAAAAGAGGCTCCTCCACAGTCAGCGGCGTTCTCCTGCAGAGACAAAGCAGAAAAAAAATTTCATCTGGCGAGTCTTCAATTTGCTACCAAGCATTGACGAAAATGTGATGTATTCAAACAGAAAATCATTTAAGGCCACAGAAGCAGTTGAGTAAGACAAGAGAAGAATGCTGGTTTTATGCATGCATGTTTAAACACATGTACAACCCCATTTTCAAAAAGACAAAGATGCTCTGAAAAGGTAAATTAAAACTAGTACAAAGACAAAATATTGAATATTGAATGAAATAAAGTAATGTGCAAAAGTCTTGAGTCAGGAAAATGGGAAGGCCTTTGCTTATGACCACTTAAAAAATTACAACAAAGTCTTCCTCCTTGGAAACAAAATATAAAGAAATGAGTGATGGCTCAAAATATGTTTTATTTATTCAATTATTTTATTATTTTTTAACATAATATATGCTCATTTAGAATTTGATGCCAGTAACGTGTTTCAAAAAGGTCAAGCCAGACAACAAAAATACTAGAAAGGTTTTATAAGATCTCACAACTAATGAGGTCAATTAGTAACATGAATAGGTGTAAAAAGAGCATCCTAGAGACTTTCTTTTATCAGTAAAGACAGGGAGGATTGAACAGTCGGGGTGATTAACGTAAGAGCAATGTTTCATAATGTAAACTTGCAGAGAACTTGTGTTTTTTTCATATACAGTAACATATCTTTAAATAGATTCTGAAAAACTAGACAAAGCAGAAAACCAACTGAATGCTCTCCAGGCTCTGCATCGAAAACACAGATTATGTCAAAATTGCTGCATGGAAGTGGGAACACTTCTGAAAACCTTCATCAGAGAACACACTTTGTAGCTGCATTTACAAATAAAAAAAAAAAACAGTAGTTTGCCCACAGTCAGAATCTGTCACCAAATAAAAGCATTTGGTGCACTGTAAAAGAAAAAGATAACAAAAGAGGCTCCAAGCTGCAGAGCAGCTGAAACCTTACATCAACCAAAAATGGGAATTAATTTCTCTTTCAAAAGTGCAGCAACTGATCTCCTCAGTTCCAAAACATTTACAGTGGGTGTCCCTACTTTGTTTTGTTTGTCTAGTTTTTTTTACAAGCATCAACTTAAGAAGGAAAAACCGCTCAGCTTTCACATTTCAGAAGTTTTTATAGTACTTATTATTGTAATATTTACGCTTTAACAGGGTTGCATGAATATACGTGTTTTTTGATGTGTCATGGTGTGGTAAAATGCTGACCTGTGCGTGATAAGAGTGGCAAGACTCGGGGCGTCTGCGAACCTTTTGAGACTTCATCCTGTCACACTTAACTGACGAGTTATGTACAGCGGGGTCAAGGAGCAGCAACAGAAGCATAGTATGGTTTTCCTGCACCCTCATTCAAATATTACCACTAAAGACATGCAGTATAAACATTTTAAAGATATGACATGGCAGGCTCACACCTGGAATCTAACTTAACAGTGCGGCTGGTTGAGTCAGTTAAAGAAACACAACGATTTAGGCCAGCATGCTTAATTAATACACATGTTAGAATAAAGAGTCTGTACTGTAGGTACTGTAGGTCTACAAAGTGTGCCCAGATTGACTCAGTGTATAGGCAGGGTGACGCTGCAGTTAGGTTAAAACAAGCCAACTTTATGTGAACATGATTCACGTGATCCATGAATATAAACATCACAGGATATATCTGACTTCCTCTGGCTCCAGGGTGATGGGTGGGTACTGTTTGGAGCAGTCACAGTCTGCTTGCACCACCAGCATCAACAGGTTGCTCTCTGGTATCTGCTGCACTACAAACATCCTGACATAAACAAAAAGGAAAAGTGTGAAATAGACAAAAACACATGTGTCATGGGGTTAGGGTAGTCATTATATTAACAGCATTACTCAAAAACTATCATGGAGAGTGTGGACCACGTGTAGCTGTGCTGTGTTATACCACCATTAGCCTCATGAGGGTGATCACACTCAGCCTATGGTGACAACCCAGTGATGCTTTCCTCTTTATACTCTACCCCCCACCCCCTGGCCCACCTCCTAGTGCTTTTCCATCTTTGTTTCTGTCACTCACCCCTCCCCAGTCCCTGTATTTTTTTTATTCACCTCTCCTAATACTTTCACTGCTTTCCAACGAGTCACTCTCCCTTCTCCGCTTCTCAGTCTTTCCATAACCCCACACACCATGATCTAAATCAGTTCCTTTCTACTTATTTCCCTCTTTCTGCCACTCTCGTATTAATACAAACTGCTCTCAGTATGCAAAGCAGAGCAAAGCCGTAGAAAATGGATTCTGGAGGAACAATTTAATATGACTGGTGTAGGGCTTAGAGAGGACTACACTGCTATTTCTGCGTGCATAAGTGTGCGTGAGCGTGCGCTTACTTCTGGCATCGTCCGCACTTAATAATGCTGTTGGTCTCTTTGACTGACGGCTCATAAACAAAGCTGGGGTACTCGGTGTCACACGGCTGCAGGATGTCCCCTTTTTTCTTATGAACTGAGGCTAATAGAGAGATAGACAGGGGTCATGTTTCGAGATGAGAATTATAACAGAGCTTGTGTGTTAAAGTGTATGCGTGACATTTTGCTGGTGACTGACAGGCTGAGAGTCTGTGACAGGAAATCGAAGGTCTAACATCTCAATTCTTCACACATCAGCCCTTTATTGCTGCTTCTTCCGTAAGCCAAATAATCCCTAGCTTGCTGCGTATGATAGGACTAAAACCAGAGAGAGCCATAATGGCTTGTCAAAATGTCTTATCTTGTTCTGAGCCATGTTTTTGTTTGACTTCTTTAGAATTGCATTAACTTCAGTACAAATTTATGCCTGACTCTTGTTTTGAGGGACTTACCAGATGTGTCTGCTCCCACTGAAACCCACTTATGTAACAGACACAGTAAATACTTTTCTTGGTCTGAAGTATAATATAAAAAATAAAGCACACCTAAAAGAATGCTTGGCTGTATCAAAGGATGATGATAATAAGGACCATTTGATTGACAGGTTTAGTAATGATGAATGATATTTTGTTAAGAATTATTTACCAAGCATTACAGTCATCCAGAGCTGCTCTGAGGGTTGTGTTAATTTACAAAATAGAGATGACACACACGAGATACAAAGAAAGAGGGCTCAGCCTTAATTAGCCACATTTATTCCGAATGTGAGCTCACCGTCAGCAAAATGCTCTGTGTGCCAGAAGCCACAGATATTGAACTCCAGGAGAAATCTTACAAAAGAGAGAGAAAAGAGGAGAGTGGAAGTCAGTTAGGTGGCTATCATTATAGACTAAAGCAGACTGGAAGCATACTGCATGCAGCCTTCCAAAACTGGGCCAGGACCCAAAGTTGTGTCATGGGAATACTAAAATGGGTCCTCAAGTTATTCAGCAGAAATTGTTAGCTTTGGTGGTTGTTTTTTTCCCTCCTAACTGGATAAACAACCTGCTCTTTTATTTAGGCTGTTAGATTTATCAAGTGACTTTATCCCTACCAAGTAAACATGGAAAAAATACCGAGGCTGATTTTCTTAACAGAAAATTGCTAAAATGTTACTTTAATTAGATTTAATAACTACAGTTGTGTATTTATAATGTTGTGTGTAAAAACATTAGATAAAAACAATCTGATTTTTTCCATCTGTTGATGGAGGATAATCGGTTAACACTATCTCTGATTTCTGGACAGCGATCCAGGCAGCTGAGAGCTTATGTTAATCATTTTTAATTTGGAATTTAATTGTTTCTCTATTATATATATTTATTTATTGTGCATCCATCTGTGTTTTAAATACTGTCCGGTTTTAAGCTGCAAACTACTGCACAGAATTTAGTTATTTGACAATAAAGAATCTTTGAATAGCTTTTCAGGTAAGTTTTTTTTTTTAATTTATGGTTTAACTTTGCTAGCAACATTGTAAATTTTAAATTTTAAATTGGGCAAAACTGGTGATGTTAATAAGTAACATGAGTGCACAAAATAGTGTACCTTTGTAGAGTATATACTACATAGTATAGGATATCGGACAATGTAGCAAAAACTGCATAGCCAATCCAGGTTGCCCCTAGCAACACTTACAGTAGGAAGTTGGAGAGGAACCACTTGAAGGCTGAAGCCAAACCGTAGAACGGCTGAAGAGATAGATGGACAAATTCTATTTAACGGAGAACTGATTTTGGGAATATATCTGTATAGGGAGAGACTTCACTGTACATACACTGAGAAGTGGACGTGCGCTGCTGACAGAGTGTGAGTTCATCTTACACATGGCCTGGTAGTCGAACAAGGATACCCTAAGGAAACATGAGCACACAAACAAGCACACAGTGTTGCTCTTCTGGCAGTATCGACCCACATTGATTCCCTGACCCCCCTCCAGACTACCACACATGTTTGGCTGAGCTTAACCTTTACAGAATCCCTGAAAGCTATTGTAACTTACAATGATCCCAACACTAGAATTACTTTTCAGACAACTAATTCTTTTTGTTGTTTTTTTGTACGCAGTCGTCAAACACAAGAACACATAAATACAGAAAATCACAGAGTGTAAATATGCTCACATTGCTACTAAAGATCATCCACGCTCAAAACTAGTTATGTAATATCCTGTGTCAAATGAAGCATGACGAAATCTTTTAGCTGTTTAAAAATAGCACATCACTCAGGAGATTTCAAACATCAAAGATGGGCAAAAACTAAGCGTGAAGAAAAAAAACATCCCAAGCCCTCAAACTCAAAGGGGAGCAAAAAGGAAAGGCACGGACAGCTTAATCACAAACACAGAGTCAGACGGGCGCATGCAGAGAGCATAGGAGAGAGACTGTACCATTACACTGCATGGATACTAATGCACTGTTTAGGTATCTAAGAACCAAAAAACAAAAGGAAAACATTTGCAAACTGCCACCCTGATTAAGATAATTACACAATTACAATTAAAACCTGATAGCAAAACAGCATGGGGCTGACACAATTGCAATTACGAGCCAGATATTCGTTCGGAGACACAGGACCCATAAAGTGGCACTTCACACAGAGTGAGAAAACCGCAGGTTCTCTCAGGATGGCCGTTCAACCAGTCAATCAGGCGAGGAATGACAACCAGGCATTACCTTTTGAACATGCCCATCCTGATCAATGTGGTCATCACTGAGCCATCAATCTCCCCAAAGAACCTTCCCGCCTAACAAGAAAGAGAGAAGAAAGAAGTCTAAAAAAATCAGTGTGGCAGAACATAAAAAACTCAAGTCCCAATAATCTGATAGAGGAAATATAAGTTCACTTCTGTGATCTCCTGTCCACTTTCACCTCTGTGCGAACTGCATGGTCGAGCATTTAGTCACAATAAACTCCCAGTTACGAAAACCTTAGTCTGCTGTGTACAATGCAAAATGCAAAAACTGGCAATCTCTAATTGACTGAAAAAGACCAGCTGCTAAACTATAATCCTTGTTGAAAGCTATGCAGTGAACCTGAATTTGATCATAGCATTTTTCTAACATAACTACGTTTTCAATGGACATAAGATCTGGACTGCAGACAGGCCATTATACCCATAATAAGTGCTTAAGTCTATATATATCATTTAGTGTTAATGGTGCTTTCACAGATGTGCAAGTTAACCATGTCTTGTGTAATAATACTCCTGATATCAACATAGAGGCTAGCTTTTAAATTGTGTGCTGATAACAACTGAGATCATCCCTCTTTTACTTAGTCCAAAAGATATATTGACCATGATTTCCAAGAGTTGTTAAACTACAGAGGCCTGGAAATTTGAGAGTCCTGTGCAGCTGTTCCTAGGACTACGCTTTTGGACAGAGATCTTGGATGTTGTTCCTGAGATCTGCTGGAGCCGCTTGCCTATCTTGGGAATCCCTGCACCTAGTGCATTTGTGGATGCAGTGGTGGACTACATTCACTTCTTCTAAAATGTAAATATGTAAAAGTAAAAAAGAGGTACACTGCCCCAGGATGTCACTGCTCTTTGGTTAAAAAAAATTAAATATTTTTCTCTGTTGGGCTGGTTAATAGTGTTTAACAGGATGAGAAGACAGTTAAAAAACACATTAACCGTTTTCACCTTTTTTTTCTTTTAAGGTAATAAATATTGAAGAGTGGAAGGGCTCTCAAACAATCAAGTCAAAGACTAAGGAGCACTCCAGCCATATTCTGTGAGTGCATGTGTGAGAACTCACGTTATTGCGCTGTTCAGAAATGAGGACAAAGCCATTATTGTCAATCACATAGCACTCGATATCCTGGTAAGAGACAGAGGAACCAATTACTTATGTAAGGAAACATCTGTGTCAAACATCACGAGCACAGATAACACGGACACCTAAATAATTTATACCACGTATTCATGAAGTGTTCACCTTTGTAGTTTTGTATAGTAGCAAAAGATAATAAATCTTATATATTTATAATAATAATAATAATAATGATAATACACTTTATGGCAGTGTCATTCAAAAGCAAGATATACTCACTAAGCTGTCACAGCGAAGAGGACAAATCCCCTCCACATTTGAGCACTGGCAGTAAAGAAATCAAGACAAGAAACTGTGTGATTATTTCACCATAATCCAATGTTAGAGAGATTTTTTTTCTTTAATCAAATCGACATCTGAGCTTAGATTAGGGCATGTTTGTGCGAGTGACACATGCTCTGTCTGTGTTTGGCCGTGGGGGTGTTAGGCTTGAGAGTGCGACAGTGTCGACAAGTGCATGTGTATGTGAAAAAAAAACAACGTGTCTGTGTTGGTGTGAAATTGTTAATTTCTGTGAGATATGGGCTGTTTACCTGTGATGGGATCTGAGTGGCTTGTTAGCAAGTTTGTGCATGTGTAATGTTAGCATGTCTCTGACTGTGTGGATGTGAATGTGTAATCTGTTTTAACTGAGGTGTGAAGCTGATTTCACAGAGCTTAGCAGGTGCTGAGGACGTTAAATTTGGTTCAGTAGGAGGAAAAGAAAAGTGTGCGATGCTTTGAAAAATGAGGAAAGGAGAAATTATTCATACTTACATCTGTGTCATTTGGCTGGGAAGACACAACGATGGCAACAAAGAGAGTGGAAAGAAATGACAAGCATTACATTACATAGCAAGTGGGCTGATTGACTACTTCTGCTGCTGTGAGCTTGCTAACAAAAAAAAAAAGACTACAGATTCTTTTCTTGAACACACATTTCAAATGCCTTTTTAATGAGTTTTCGAGCAGGCTCGTAAAACTTCAGCAATTTTGGAAAATAGTGTACAATTAGATGCTTTCTCATAAAAAAAACCATCAGTTTGTGCTATAAGAAAACATTAAAAGGGATCTGTATCACTGCAATCAGACTATTTGTCATAATACAAAAGTTTTTAACCATAAGCAAAGTCTGAAACTTTCCTTCTGTTCTTTCGTCTGTGGACTGATGATGAACACCAACAGTTTTCCTGATGATCTTATGTTGTCTGCAGTATATGTGGCTCGGCGTCTATGGACAATGTGTCTTTGGATTCATGGTCAGGCTAAACAGAGCATGTCGAAGTGTGAATGAGACCATCTATCATCCTTTTCAATCCCATTACAGCAAAGTGTCAGTCTTTTTCTCTGCTTCCCATCGTCGCCTCCTGAAATAAACTACAATTTGGTGGACTGACAGAAGTGACAATGCTTCTCCCCCACACACTACGGGTAAATGGCACAGCTTGATGAGGAGCAGCACTTACGAGAAAAGGAACTGTCTCTTTCTGCTAACTGAAGCAGATCATGAAAATATACAACCTTGCTAATGAGTCCCAGGAATCACGCTAATCAATGTAGATATGAAGCAAAACTGATCAAAACCACCATACAAATGTGGTGACAGTAGAGGAAAAAGACAGTGAAATCAATAGGAGTTATCTTCTTTGCAGCTTTAATTTGCTTGGCAAATTAAGTGGAAAACCGCCCATTAGTTTAACATGAGAGCATGACAGATATGCGCTTTCAGAAGGCATCCAAGGTGGAAAAGCTTAATCTATAGGGAAACATTAAATATGTTTATTACATTACATTCATCTGTGAGTGAAATTTCTAACATGCTCTTGAGACTCTTATTTTATTAGCATCTACAACTCTGCTAAAACTAAACAAAAAAAATAAATAAATCAATAATTGTTAATAATGCGTTAATCTTCTCTTTTTATTTTTCTAATTATTTACAGTTCATGTGTCATATCTCATCTTCATCAGTCACTTTATTAGGTACACCTCGTCAGCTGCTTGTTAACACAGTTGTCAGTCAATCAATGTCAGGAACTCAATTCATTTAGGCATTTATATATGGTGAAAAAGAGCTGCTGAAGTTTAAAATGAGCATCAGAATAGTGAAGAAAAGCAATTTAAATGACTTTGCATGTGGCATGGTGGATGGTGCCAAACAGGCTGATCTGAGTATTTCAGAAAATGCAGATGTACTCGGATTTCCCCACACAACCAACTCTAGGGCTGTCATGGTCCTGGGTCATTTAACCCAGTGTTTCCAGTTTTCCTGTGTTTTTTGTCGTTTTCTATTATGATCGATGTATATGTTCTCTTTACTAGTCTTAAGTTTATTTCCAGAGTGCTTGGTTATCCTGTTTTGAGTTTCTTATGGTCCCTGTTTAGTTCCTTGATTATTTAGTAATTTCCCCTTGTGTCTTTGCCCTCTGTGCGTCTGTGTTTGTATGAGTTCTTGTGCCTTGTTTCCCCTCCTTGTTTTATTCCATCATGTTCCCCCAGCCAGTCATGTCTCTCTCTCCCTCGTGTTCCCTCGCTCCCTCTCGTCTGCCTCTCCTCCACTCCTGCATCATGTTCCTCTGTTTCCTGTCTTGTTGTGCAGGTCTCGTGTTTCCACGTTCATTCCGGTCAGTCTTGCCTTCCCTGTCTTGCTATGGTTATTTGTGTCAGCTGTGTTCCCCGTGTGTTCTCATTTCTCGTTATCCTTCTGTGTATTTATGTTAGTGTCTCCCTCAGTTCCGTGTCACGTGCTCCCTGATAGCTGTGTGTACCTCTCCGTGTTTCCCCAAGTGTATTTTTATTAGAATTTTCCCAGTTTAGTTTTGTATTGGTTTGCATCCAGCAATAAAGCTGTGTTCTTTATTGTTCTTTTTTAGTCGACGTTTTCGTCTCCGTGAGTTTGCGTTTGGGTCCTAGTCCTGCCCGCACACAGCTGGTTTATGACAAGGGCTTAAAGAGAGTGGTACAAAAAGTGAAACTGTTCAGGGAGTGGCATCTCTCTGGATGAAAAGGACTTGCTGATGTTAGAGGTCAGAGGAGAAGGGTCACAATGCTTTAAGTCGATAGGAAGGCAATAGTACCTCCAATAACCGCTGCTATTTAAAAAAAAAAAAAAAAAAAAGGTATGTAGAAGAGTATGTCTGAATGCACAACACATTCAACCCTAAACCAACTAGGCCACAGCAGCAGAAAACCACACTGGGTGCCACTCCTTTTACCTAAGAACAAGAACATTGCCTCATCTCAATTTCTGCTGCGGCATTCAGATGGTAGGGTCGGATTTTGATGAAAACAACATGAAACAATGGGTCCATCCTGACATGTATCAATGGTTCAGCTGGGTAGTGTTGGAATGGTCGTACACTAGGGATATATACAGCCCTTTGTACCATCATCTCTGGCCTTGTCTTTATGACTACAATGTGCCCACGTTCTAATGGCTGAAAGCAGCTATTAGAAGATGTCCCAAATGTCAAATCATTTCAAACTGTTTTCTTGAACATGGCAATGGTTTCACTGTACTCAGGTGGCCTCCACAGTGACTGAACCTCAGTCCAGTAGAGCAGCTTTGGGATGTAGTGGGGTAAAAGACTCTTATCATAGATGTGCATGTGACAAATCTGCAGTAATTATGTGATGTTATAATATCAATGCCGACTAAAATCTCTTAGGAATGTTTCCAGCACTTTGTTGAATGTGTGCCTTGATAAATCAACACATCCATTTCTAAATGGAAAAGGACACCAAACCTGAGAGTTCCCTGAGAGCATCTATGTTCATCACTAGTGCATCCTGTTTCCTGTCCTACGCCAAATAAGAAAGAAAAAATAAATGTTCTGTAGCTGACTCCAAATCAGAGGTAATTATTAGAACTGCTCACAGACGCCACAGCAAAAGCAGCATCATTAGTCTCTGGTCTAGTCTGGGTATCTTATTTAATAATGCTCAAAAACGTGTGTGTGTGAGTGTGTGAGTGTGTTTTTTTTTTATACTAAGATTATGAAAAGTGGTGTATTTCTGGAATGAGACAGCAGGCCAAGACAAGATAATTTCTTTCTTCTGCAGGCTGCAGAAAAGGTCATCCATGCTTTTATCGCTATCAGACTAGACTGCTGCAGTTCACTTTACTCAGATCTCAGCATTCAAAACATCAGAAGACTGCAGTTGATTTAAAATGCTGCTACCAGACTTTTAAGGTACTAAGAGAAGTGACCACATTACCCCAACTGCCCTTCACTGGCTACCAGTGAGATTTAGAATTGCTTTTGAGATTTTACTACTTGTTTTTAAAGCCTTAAATGCTGTAGCTCCTGTCCACGTCTCTTATGTGATAACTCCTGTGCACACCTGCTGCTTGAGATATTCTGGCAGGACTATAGTAATGGTTCCTAATTTGTGGTGCGTCACCAAGAGTGACCGGGACTTTACTTCCCGCCCTCTCAGCTGTGGAACCTGAAGATCTGAGGAATGCTAACTCTGTATCCTCTTTCAGATCTCCTTTTAAAAACGTCCTTTTTTAATGTCCATATCTTAAACGATAATAATGTTTTTCAGATTCATTTAAAATATATTCTCGTTTTTTCTCAATAAAATGTTGTCCTGTTTTATTACGTTGATTTCATTTTATATAATCAGGGGTCCAGATAAGTGGTCCAAAGGTGCGCATTCGCTGTCAAAATAAAAGACGCGCACCAGATAAGAAGTTGCAAAGCGCGTTTGCGTACATATAAAAGACACAGTTTTTGTCCACTAGAGTGGGATTTTCACGCCATATTCTGCACCACATCTCTGTGCGTTCATCATTTGTTTGAAGCCAGCTCACCTCCTGCAACCACTTTTCCGAGAATACACGCTTCTTTTGCGGTTCGGACTCCTGACATTTCTTTGGAGGTGGAGGAAAACCAAAGTAATTGCTTAAAGAAGCTTGCTTCTTCGACATCTTTAAGATGTCTGTCTTCCTCCAGAAAATCGCATGTACCCAAACGCGCGTTGCAACTTCTTATCTGGTGCGTGTCTTTTATTTTGAAAGCGAATGCGCACCTGCGGACCACTTATGTGCACCCCTGCATATAATTTCACGGTTATTGAGTAATGTGATCACAAACACAGAAATAGAATGTAAGTACATAGTTAAAAACAGAGGAAGAGAAACACAGGAGTGTTCTCTATGAGATAAATAGGATGCCAAGGTGTGAATAGCACAAAATCTATCATCTTTTGATTCCCATTACTGTCGCCTCAGAACCCCTCACTAATCATGAATTGCTGTCAAACAAAATATAGCAGCAGTCGGCTGTGAGAGACACATGGAGCCTTATATTATAGGGTTTGCACTGTATTTTTTAATATCATGTATTTTTATGAAAGTCTGTTTTTCAGATTTAATCATTGTAGATATTATAATCTGTCAGCGGAGCAAAGCAATGAGACATATATTACCAGTCATATTTAATTCTTCATTTTTATACTTTTTTCCACTGTATCTAACACACACATAACTTTTAAACTCCATGGATGGAATGAGCACAGTAGAGTTTTGTAAAAGGAGCTTCCTATTATGATCCTGACAGACTTCAAAAGGATCTTAGCTCTTGCTTTATTTTTCCCTAACTATGAAACTCATTTACTAATAAATCAGGTTTTAAGATAGACAAGCTCCCACTGTAAGCCACAAAAGGGTGACCCTCACTCACGTGGCTTCTACTGACATGATAACTGTGCACAGTCTCTTGCCTTAATCTTTTCTCATAAACACAAAGCTAAAGCAAATTTTAATCAGTAATTAAGGCAATCCAATTATTAGTTGCCTTTACTTCATATACTGTATGTCTCTTGGAGTAAGCTAATGGTGAAGAAGTGTACAAATGAGAGGAAAAGCAATATAGTTTCTCTTAACACTGACTGTCTGTGCCCCAACACAGAGGGGAAATATGACAACCCATTGGTAGCAGTATTTTTAG